ATGTTCTTTATTTTCCCCCCCCCTTTTTTTTCCGGGCGTTTCCTGTCCGTGTTCAAAACCACCCGGAAGAAGAATTTTTTCCTGGGCAGGACCTTCCTATGGGGGCTGACTTGTTCTTTCACTTAGAAATACATTTTGGGCTACATGTTTTTTACGAACGTTGCCCTTTACCTTTACGGCATTCCTTCAAAATACACATTTGCTATGTAGGCGTAGAGGGTTTTGATTTTTTCTTCCTCGACACCCAAAGAATAGAACAAAATTTCCCGGGGGGGGGGGGGGGGGGGTCGCCGCCGCGAGAAGAGCAAGCTGCACACCTCGCGGGATGCTGCCCATGTGAGCCGCGCCGGGACAAGGACCTAGTGCAAGAGTCCTGCCACAGCAGGGCCTCCGCGGTTGCTAGTGTGGGTATGGACGGTGCTTGGTGGGGGGCCTGCGGGGAGCTGCGACTTTGTCCCCTGCGGAGAACTCTGTCGAAAGACGATCGACCCGTACGTTGTCCAGTTGAAAGTTGTCCTGGCCTTTGTGCCCCTTCGTGTCCGTCTGCCGGTCACAGCCATGTTTTCGTGCTTGCTTTTGCGTGCCTGGATTGCGACTCGCACGACTCGTGTTACCGACGGAGCACGTTTCTTGGTCGTGTGTGTACGCCGCTGCTGCCGCGAAACCCGTGATTTAGTGCAATGCTACACAACATGATAGCTGCAGCATACTTGCTCTGACGACCGCGTTTTCGTCTGTGATCGCCGCCACAGGTCCCGGACGACCCCAACGTCAAGGTGCTCTCCAAGAAGAAGGCCGCGGACAGGACGCAGCACAACCTTCGCAGTTTCTCGGCCCCGCTCCGCCCCCCCTCTCCCGCCGACACGCCAACCGGCGGTGGAAACCCCGGCAAGGCTGCCGAAGAGATCGGCGGGCGAAGCGGTGGAGCGGACCACCCGGTCGTGAAGATAACCGTCCCGGCCAACCTCCCCAAGGACGCGGACGACGTCGTGGCAAGGCTGAAGAGCTCGATGATGGCCTTCAAGCAGGTGTGTTGGGCATGTCCGACGCATGGTGCCGTCTTTTTGGGCGGGGACCGTTTCAGGTACTGCGAGGCGGACGGCGTTCGCGCCAGGTCAACAAGACAGGAACTGGTCACCCTATTGATCCATGTCGCGGACGAATCTCGCTGGCTGTGGAGGACATTGGGGTTCTCCGAAAATCTTGGCGGATGCAAATGCTGTGCACTTTCTGTGCCCTTTCTAGAAATAAAAACTGACTGGGACTGTTCCTAGTTGTGAACAAGCAAGACACGATCTATTGTGGACTAGGTTGTTTACTCTTTCGCTTAATCCCGTGCTACCTGGGTTGTTTGGAATGCAACAGCCGTAGGTATCTGGGAATAATCTGGCCACGTTTCGTGAAGGCATGGCGATTTGAATCGAGCAATCGATTTCTTGCGTGCGTACTTGGTGACTAGCTGGTTAAGCTACGCAGGTCATTTCGATTGAACGGTTTGGGTCCATGGGTTCATCTTTTGTTTTTTTTCTGGCACCTACAGATGTGTGATAGACCGCCCCCCCCCTCACCTACTCCCCCCAGGCCGACGTCAAAGTTCGAGCAAGCGACGAGGACTCCAGCACCCCGACCGTCGCCGATGGTGCCCACCGCTTTTGGTGTGAGGCGCGTCTGCGTTCCGCCGCCGCGGGAGGAGCAGGAGCAGCAGCACCAGCGGAGCAGGCGACGACAACCACAGCAGCGATCGCCGCTACCCCTCTGCTCTTCGCGTTTGAGCTGGAGGTCCACTGCGCGGCGGAATGGGCCGGCACAGCCGCGGCACGGGCCGCGGTTCAGGTGTGTGTCATCATCATATCCATCCAATACATGGATATATTCGTGATTTTTTTTTGTCAACGTTTTGCATATCTTCCCGGTTTTCGATACCTGTCTCTGCGTCCTGTGTGGCGAGAGAGCGTTCTATGCCCTGTAGATGGGAAGGGCGCTCCTCCATGCTTTGGTAGGTTTAGGAGCGTAATTTGGCGATCGGTTTCATGTGTAACAACAGAAGCTCCGGGTGTTTTGGCCGTGCTTTGCTCTTTTGAGGCGTGGTGGTGCTGAACTGTGTGTTTATTCTGAAGTCGGCATCCACCGATTGGGCTGAAGGTTGCTTCGCGCTGAAGTTTTGGAAATCACGCGACACATGTGTTCGACAAGAAGACATGGCGCGACAGCGACATCGACACCGATACTGCTGTCGAGATGAAGCCTATGGATACAAGTATGGCACAGAAGTCGGGTTCGGCACAGAGGTGTCTCGCGCACGTATTGTAGCATGGCTGAGCACGCGCGTCCTTCCTTCTACAGAACGCGCCAGATAAGCTCTTGGTTTCACCGAGGCTTGATCCTCATTTTCTCTGCGGAGAAAAACCCAACATCGACCATGCACCGAGGGTTGTTGAACGAGCGCTTGTGGTCAAGTTCCTATATTTTGGTTCTTTTTTTTTCTGCGCTCATTTTTCTTAACTGGCGCCAATTTCTTGTGCGGTGGCGCGTGCTGCGTGCCACAGGTGTGGGCGCGGTTCCAAGAGGGAGGCGACAGAGGCGCCTTCCACCGCCTGTGGGAAACGCTGCAGATGGACGTGCTCAGACAGAACAGGCGCTGGAGGAGGGAGATGACTAGGGAGGCTGCCGGAGGACGATGATGAAATGACCGAAAGTCGGCCGGCGGCGGGAGGCGATACCGTAGGAAGTGACGGCATAAGTTTCTGGGGCGGGTGTAGGGAACGGGCGGCGGACATTTCTCCGTTTGGTGGGTGTGCGCTGCTGTTGTATTGTCACCTTTCGCCAGCACGTGACTTGAGGGATTTGGTTTTCGGATGGTCGTCGGCATTTTGGTGAGTCGGAAAGGCGACAAAGGCAGATCTCGGCACATATGTACGAGTCGAGGGCGCGTTGTCTTGCATGATGATGTACGTGGCAGATGAAGGGTACTGCTGTGAAGTGTTAACAAAGGCAGATTCTCGGCACAGACATGAGTCGAGGGTGCGTTGTCCTGCATGATACATACACGTGGCAGACCAGCGACAGCGGACTGGCGTTGCCCTCCGCTAGATCTGTTGAAGTAGATGCCTTCCGGCGAGAAAACCCATTGTGCTCTTGTTTGATTGGTGGAACCCATCGTCCCATGCCTGCAAGGTGTCGTGAAGGAGGAATGCGCCCGGCCGGCGAAACTAGACGAAACTTCTAGAAGTAAGTACTGTTGAGGAGCCTCACTGGCTTCGCACGAATGCGCCTGTCGGCGTTTATATGGATGCAGAGGCGAGTTGTTTCTGTTCGGCCCGTTGCGCTCGCATGGCATCGGGCTACGCATGCAGCTAGAACGGTAGAATGCACTTAGTTGTTGCGGAGAGGCGAACAAATGGTCGTCGAGCGATTGTAGGCTGAAAAATGGCGTTACTCAAGAAGAGGGGTCCGACACATGTTCCTGGGGGTGCGCAGTGCTCTCCGAAATGCGAATTGCTTGAGGAGGTTTGCAGCCGCAGCCCCGGTGATCAATGACACGCGAAACCCCCGAATGACAGTCTCTACACACTGACAATTCCGGCCACACAGCTCCGGAGATGTAGGGTGGGCTTCTCAGAACCAGAGCGGCAATTGCTGCAGGCGACTCTGCTGGCAATGGGTCGGCGGGAATTTAGGCATGTTGGAGATTTTCCTCGAAGTACATGCTAGGTGCGGTCGTTGTATCCGGAACCTGTATTCAGTCGAGGGGCCGAATCCGGCATCTACACACAACAGCGGTGTTGGGTGATAATCGCACAGCATTTCCTTGCTGGACACCTTGTTTGTTTCCCTCGGAGTATTCTCCGCATCCGAGACCAATTGAGACGAATCCCGCGCCGCAGTTCCCTTCTGTAGAGAGAGATAGATCCATTCGGCACCCGACCCCTTGAAAGAGGAACACTGCCTGGGGACATCTGACGGTGTAAATAAAATACATGGGTGCAGTACGCGCGGCCGCCCCTGTGGCCTGTGTGGATTCTCTCGCCGCGGATGGAATGGAAAAAAAAAAAGAGCTCTACAGTTTGCGGTCGAAAACGACTATTCTGCAAGTGTACTATACACCCGACTTCGCGGTCACGAGGGAAAGGGACGGCTGGCCCCTTCTCGCGATAACCACCGTGGCAGGCACCGCGAATGAGAAAAAGTGGGACCTAAAAATATAAAAAAACAAAAACTCCTGGGAGACCTTCCTGTGTGCCCCCGGCTGATACACATGAAACACGTGAAATTATGCACACCAAAAGGTGTGTCGACTGGCACCAGACTGCATGGGACAAACACAAACATGACAAAACACTCCAGCACGAACAAGAAAGCTGCCCCACGCAACAAGTTTTACCAAAAAATAAGAAAAGACGTTTGCCGGCTGGCAAGCGCTTAAAACACATACAAACGAGTACACCTTGTGAACGCCCGCATTTTGATCCTCGTGCACACTTGCAGTACTCCGAGGGAGAACTTCACTAATAGAATATCAACGCAAGGGAATATTAGTTTCATTTCAACTATTGCCCCGCATGAGCATTCCTTGCAAGCCCCACAAACTTCCCCCCAAGCAGATGTGTTCGATGAGTCGGCGGTTCGACCACTTCAAAACAAACATTCCGCAATTATCGTGTTCCGGGCCAACCGGCACGATTTCCGCGTCTATCCGCAACAGACCGCTGCATCACCAACCACTGCGCCCCGCCCCGATCTGAGCAAATCTGAGCTACGTTGCCGGGGGATCCAAGCGTTGGACGATTCCGCCTCAACAGGCTTGCGAACTCAAAAAAATGTGCAAATCGTACAGTTGCACCTCCCATACGCGGAACAAATTGCGTCCCCAAACTGAAAAAAATAAAATAAAATTTGAGTACAAATTCGCCTGACGGGGGTACAATCTGGACATTATCGACCTAACGTGACGCCCGTGGGCGGAAGCAACAGCTGGTGATGACGTCGCTAGTCCGCCTTGGGGATGCACGGGCATGGGTACAGCAATAGGACACAAGCAAAGCGAAGCGTACCCGCAAACCTCTCAACGGACAGCAAACCGATCGACTTAGGTCGTTGAACACCCAACGGTACTCCGTCCCAGCCCGTCCACAGGGGGTGCAAGGGTCAAACGGAAGAATGCGAGGGCCAAAGCGCACGGCCCTTTTTCCGGGTTGCGCCTAAAGAGGGTGACGGCGGCAGCTACACGGTGCCGGCATCACAGCTCAAGGAGCCTAACGACGAGCCTGGCGTGGCCCTTCTTCATGCCGTACTGCAAGAGCTCCTCTTCACGGACGCCGCGCAACGCCTGATGCGCACGAGCCGTGTTTTTTTGTTGCGGTAGAGACGGGAGCAACACACGACGGGGAGCGAAAAACGTATCGGTCAGAGTGCGAACAGTGTGATCAACGGGTGCAAGGCAGGGTTGAGTTGAAACAGAGTCAGGTAGACGTCAGACGAATGTGTGGTGCTTCGTGCAGCCAATTATCCACGCATTACCGTACTCCCCAAGCATTGAGCGCGCTCTCTATATACACCTCGTGAAAACTTACCTCGGTACTCTTAATACATCATACTCCTATCATACCAAAAATAAAATAGCATGACTCAGGCAGGCTGACTGTTCTCACGAGCCGAGTGAATTTCTCATGCTTCCTCGTCGGGGGTTGTCAGCTCCTTGTACACAACCCTGCATGGTGTTGTCAAACATTTCTGGCGAGCGTCGTTTGGGAGGGGGGGGGGCGTAGCATGCATGGACCGCGGGATAGATTTCAAGGCTCAAACGCTCTGTGCGTCGTCGGACTCCCCCGAAAACCCCACGTACCTCTTCGCTGTCGAAGCCGTCAGCGACAAGTCTGCCGGCGTACCGCGAGGCGTCCGGCTCCCGGATCTTCAGCCCCGAGAGCCACGCGGCGAGCCTCTCCACCACCGCTGCCTCGCCGCCGTCCTCGCCACCATCGTTGCCTCCGGTGCCGTTGGCAGCAGACGCGGTAGTGGAATGTTGGTCGCCGGTGTTATCACCGAAATCAAGCAGAGAGGACCCCGCTCCTCCTGCTTCCCCCTGCGGCGATGGCTGCTGGCGGGACTGGTCTTCAACTCCCAGCAACAACGAAGGCGCCGAAGCAGAAGCTTCAGCAGCATCGGGGTCGTCAACTCCCAGCAACAAGGAAGGCGCACTGATGGCAGAAGCTCCACTGCTGCCGGCAGCGTCGGGATCGCCGACTCCCAGCAACAAGGAAGGAGCGGAAGCCGCATCGCCGTCACCAGAATCGCCATCAGCAGCGTCGTCATCGACCCCGAGTATCGTCGAAGGTTCAGCAGCGCTTTGCTCGGAGGACGAATCGAGCTGCGCTTCCTCATCCGACGCCCCGTCGTCTTCTCCACAGGACGACCCTTCCTCCGAACCGCTAGATTCGGCTCCTTCCGTCCCTTCTGCAGGTTCCGGTTCGCCGCAAGCCGGTGCGCCTGCTCCAGCCGACGGCGATGGGCTCGTGGGGCGTGCCTCTTCTTCGCCGTCGCCGCCGTCGAAATTCAGCAGAGAGGGTTCGGCTTCCCCCGCTGCTTGCTGGGACGGGTCGCCCTCGCCCAGCAACAACAGAGGCAGCGAAGCATCAGAAGAACCGGCGGCCGGACTGTCAACCCCGAGCAACATCGAAGGCGCAGCAGCGGCGTCGGCGGCAGCGGTAGACACCGGACACCCCTCCTCCTCCTCCTCCTCCTCCTCCTCCTCCTCTTCCCCCGTCGCCGAAACCTCCGCCAAGCCCCTTGCCCCCGCGGCCTCGGCGGCCTTGACAATATCGTCGCACTCCTTCAGCACGGCTTCCAGGGCGCGCTCGAGAGACGCTGCCTTCTGCCGGTGCATGTCGGCCTCCTGCTGGGCCTCTCTCAGCCTGTTGGCGGTCGCCGCCACCATCGCCCGGGCCTCGTCCTCGTCCCGCCTGTCGTTTCGAGAGGATATTGTGAGCTGGTTCAGTTTATAGCGGCCATATACACGGAGAGCAAAGCCACGGGTCCTCCTGGCTTCATTCTCTTGATGGTTAGACGCGCGTGGGCATGCGCGACAAAATGTAAAAAAAAAAAAACGCAACTCGGTGGGGAAACAGCAGTACAGAGGAGTGTCTCACGAACTCGTCACACACTTAACATTGAAACAGAAAGAATAACACCGCCGGGTTGGGACGCACCCTGATGACCCCACAACCCAACCCCCCCTGAAAATTTTGTTTTTGTACGAGATTCATGACGGGACTCCAAAAACTTCTGGTGTGCTTGGACTACTTGGAACGGGACGCACCTTTGGGCAGCGGCCGTCCACGCTCCCCTCCTGTGTCGGTCGCCGCCCCCGCCGCTCGCCCCCTTGCGAGCCGCCGCCTGCTGCCGCCGGTAGCGAGTCCACTGCGGGTCCTGCCTCTCCTCCTCCTCCTCCTCGCTCACGGTGCCCCCGCCGGTGATCTCGAACAAGACCTGACGGTCCCGATTTGTTCGAGATTGGGAAGAAGAAAACGCAGGATTGCAAAGCATGAGACTTTTGATGGTACCCCCGTGTCGACAAAATACGTTGAGCTCGAGTTCTGCCCAGACACAGCCTATTCTCATCCCCCCCCCCAATCCGACGACTACGCGTACACACAAGCGTCTGGATAACATTGCACGGGAAGCTGCTACAGACAGCAGCGATGCGAGAATTTTGGACTACGTGTACGCACAAGCGTCTGGATAACATTGCACGGGAAGCTGCTACAGACAGCAGCGATGCGAGAATTTTGGACTACGTGTACGCACAAGCGTCTGGATAACATTGCACGGGAAGCTGCTACAGACAGCAGCGATGTGAGAATTTTGGACCGCAGCCGCGGCGGCATGTCCATTGTTTCACGACGCCTGCCTTAGTCCATTTTCGAGTCCAAAGAAAAACGCCCGAAGACGAGGTTCGGTAGAAACTACAGCGTTTGGATATAGAAGAGGGGGCGTACTCAGTGCCATTGCGCGGTCGTGTCGTGCCTTTTCAGACCAGAAGCCCCAGTATCTCTTGGAATCCGGAGGCGAAGATAGTAAGATTTTCGCTGGGTGGGCATGAATTATAACAGCCACGGGTCGCCGCGAGGTCCCACGCAAGCGTCGCGCGGAAACGACAAAGGTACGGCAAGTATGTTCTGTGCGAAGCAACACCGAGTTTTGACGGGGGAACGGCTGGAAACCTCGCGCAAATTCCTGTCCCGAAACCCTTCGAGCAGCGAAGGGAAAACCTCACAGATGCGCAAAAAAAAAAATCCGCTGGCCGTTAGGAGCAAACACGGCAACAGCATCAACAGATAAAGGAGACCACACAATAAAGTACACCAAACGAGCCCCCGTGTGCACAGTAGACTAGCCACAGCCGGTAACGCAATGTAACGTCCAGAAACACGCACCTCTTTTTCGAAGGCCTTGCGCATGTCGGGCACCACCTCCGCGACCTGGAACGACCCGCTGGTGATCTCCCTGTCGAGGGTCAGGCCGTTCGCCCAGTCCACGGCGGCCGCCATCGACTTGAACAGCGCCACCTTGATCCGAAGACACAGGAGTTCACGCCGAACGGAGTCAACAAAGCAGGCTAAGCTAGTTGTTAGTGCATGCTTGTGCTCAGCCCCCGGGGTGGCAGGACCCGATCGTGGCACCGGACAAAGAATCCGCCCTCGCGAAAAGCACACCCCGCTGAGGAGGAAAACATGACAGCATCGCGGTCATGGTCGCTACAGCACTAAAACAGCAAGCACCCACGGAAAGACATTGCTGTCGCGAGCAGCAACGTGGCATGCGTGCATGCGTCGGCCTTTTTTTGAGCGGTGTACAACAACGTGATGTCTAACAAGTAGGGGCTGCATCGCTAGCTCGGCTGCGTACCAGGAACCGAAAAAAAACTAAAAGCAAGCAGCGCTCCTACTTGTAGATGTGCTGCTACTGTGCAACCTTGAACGCGGCGCGCGCCGGGCGAAGCCAATGGTCTAAGGACTACCGGTCGCATGACCACGACTCCCCCCCACGCTCCCCACCGAAGGTACGCCTCCCATTTCATAAAGAAGCCCCACCTTGCCGCTCCTTCTCTCCAGCATGCGTCCGCTCTCGTTCATCACCACCCAACGGTTCCCCACGACCGCCGTCGCTCCTTTTTGCCCGCCCTCCCCTATGACCCTCTCCGCCTCTTCGTCGTCAACTCCCTCTGCCGCAGCAGCAGCAGCGGCGTCGGCGTCCCCGCCACTCGCATCGCCCCCCCCGCCTCCCCCCCGACCGGCCCAAGCCGACGACCCGCCGCGGCCATGCTTGTTTCTTCTCCCCGGCTTCTTCCTGGAGCTGCTCCTGCTGCTGCTGCTGCCCTTGCCGCCCGCGGCGGCGGCGGCTTCGAGGAGCTTCAGGGGCCCCGCGCGATCGAGCTGCCTCGCGACGGCGGCGGGGTCACGGCCCCAGGCGTCCGGGGGGAAGTGGGACGCGCCGGCGGAGAGGAGTAGGCGGACGCACTCGGTAGACCCGTCGATGCAGGCTGTTGTGTCGTCGCGAGATCAGAGAGAGAGAGAGAGAGAGAGAGAGAGAGAGAGAGAGAGAGGGGGGGGGGGGAGCTTCAGGACAGGCGGGAGCACGAGAAGATGGAGGGGGCGCAACGCTTCTGTACAAGCCGCTCGATTTGGTTGCCGATGCGGGAATGCACCCAACCGCCTGTGGGCGAACGCTTGGATGTGTGCCGTATATACACTCGTTATCGTGCGTGCGCGCATGTGCCCACGTACATGCTCTGGTCCGCAACGTGGTACTATTTTCGCATACGAACGTCCGAAGGCCGCCATTGCTCACGGAAAGAGTCGTGTGTTTGAGGGCTTGATGAACCATGGAATGCAGAGCGTGACATATAAACCTTGAGGTCTCGTGAGACCTTTCTTGGAGACCCAAGGGAAAAGTGGCTGGAATCCGGCCGGGGGTGGGGGAACACCAGCCCCTCGATTCTACTATTGAGCGTTTTTCTTTATTTTGTTATATTCCTCATCACAAAAAAAAACGCTGAAAACACATGTCTTAACCGCCATCACCAGCGCCATACATCAGCCTTACAACTGCCTCAAGACATCCCCTCCCACAACCACGGCAAAAAAAGACACCGACACTAAAACGAAACGACGAAATCGTCGCCACGGTTAGCTGCTATTGCGTCACGACATTCTCACCGAAGTGGAGGGGCGTCCTGGCGTCCTGGTCGGACACGTTCGGCGATGCGTCCGCCTGCAAGAGCTCCTTCGCGCACTCCGGCGACCCGGCTTCGCATGCGAAGTGCAACGGGGTACGCTGGAAGAAAAGGGGGGAAGGAGGGGAGGGGTGGGTGGTCGGGACACAGCAAATACTGGACAACAGTAGTCATCAGTGGTAGCAATAGCCGGTAAGGAACACGGCCGCAGCGCTTGCTACTCACACCGCCGCATGCGCGCACACACATTCGCTCGTCATGCTGGAAAATACCAAAACGCATCCCCCCTCTTGGCCGCCAGAGAGACTGAGCGGCAATCTTCTTTGCTGTCGGCGCGCCCACCCCCGCTGCCTGCGCTTGCAACTGCTTCCCCTCCCGGACGCACGTCTACACACCGGCCGCCTTCTCTCTTCTGCCAGCCAACGTATTAGGCGCAAGCCGTCGAGTTGTTGTGTTCCCATGCACAGCCACCGCACACACAGCCATATACGCGCAGGAAATCGGGTTCGGGTGCTTTGTCTCGTCGTATGCACAATACCGACGTACTTTTATTGGTGAGCCGGTCCACAAGGTTAGCGAAATATCAAGAAACGTATGTACACGTAAGCACTTTTGTCCTTTTGCAAGTAATTCGAGTCCGGAGACTGGGCCCTGTGGTCCAACATTTTTCCGTGCCCCCGCTGCGGGGGGGGGGCCCAATGAAAAACGTCTAGAAGATCGTTTGATCACGCATTTTTTAAGCCCGACATGCTTTCATTGGTCAGCCGGTTGGTGAGGCCAATGCTAACTTAAGAAACACCAACACACAGCAAAGCACAGTCGTCTTGTCATCGATCAGCCGGTTAGCACGGTCGATGCAAACCAAAGAAGCAAACACACACACACACACACACACACACACTATCAGGGACTTTGAGTTTACCCGCTCGCACTGGTCAGCTGGCGGTCGACTTTAATCAACAAACACACAACCATGCGCAGCGAGCACGTCCGCACCTGATCATCCGCCCGCACGTTTGCGTCAGCCCCCAACGCCAGCAGCGCCGCCGCCGAATGCCACCTCCCCCTCATGCACGCCGAGTGCAGTGGTGTGTAGCCTCGCCGGGCGACGGAGGCCGGGGAAGCGCCGCTACCGACCAGCAGGGAGATCACTGCCAGCCCATGGCCCGCGTGCGCGGCGCTGTGGAGCGCCGTCCACCCTGTCGTTTCCCACGGGGGCGGGGGCGGTGTTAAACGTCTCATCATCGTCGAAAATCGGGGCGGGAAGGGGGGGGGCGAGGGCGTGGGAAACGAAGCGACAAGAGGTTCGCACCCCAAGTTCAAACACAAGAAGCGCCATATTGCTAGATACATGCGAAGCAAAACTTGTACTGCTCCCGCTGACGCTCTCTGCTTCTTGCCGACACCCCCGACAATTACCCTCCTCAATAACTCGCCCGCTACCTCCGTCTTACCGTCCCCGTTGCAGGCGTGCACATCTCCTTCTCCTCCTGGCGTGAGAGCAGCGGCTAGCGCCGCCAAGTCCCCAGCGGCGGCTTCGTCCCACAATCCCCTTCCCTTATTTCCGGCAGCCGGGGAGGCGCCGGCGTCTGACGCGAGGGTTCTCGGGGGAATGGTGTCCCCGTCTTCCTTCAATAGTGATGTTTTCAGTCTTTGGCGGAAGATAAACAAGAAAGAGCAACCCGGAGGGGAAAATTGAGAAGGATGTAGAAACGGAGGCAGGGGGGAGGGAGGGAGAGAGACAGAGAGAACAAAACAAACGGATGTGAGTCTCAAAGTTGCGCTGCTCTTGCGCCAGTGCGTCAGGTGGGGAGATCTACGCCAAAAGACCCATGGATGCAGCATCGGAGACAAAAAAACAAACAAACTAGGCGGACCTTTCGTTCAACGCGTTTCCCATTCCCCCCCCCCATCTGTTGGTTTTTTTTCTCTCTCTGTCCGTCCATCTCTGTCGGATGTCCCAAACGACATCACGAAGAGGACAAGGGTATACCATAGCTCTCTCAAGGTACCATAGCTTCGACACGTGGCCTTCGGCTCTCTATTGCCACCGGCAAAGTAAACCGGGAACTGGGAGTGTTCCCAAACGGCAAAGCGATTCTCATCGCTCTACCAGCGCATAGAATACGCCAAGGGGGGCAACCCTAGACAGGGTAAAGGGTCATGGTGTTTGGCACCTTCCCTGCGGGTCATACACCTTTTAAAAGGTTTATTCTGCAAGTTTTCGAGTTGCTCACCCTTTCAGCCCGGAAGAAGACTTCCCGACTGAAGAAACTCCGGCCGCGAGCGCATCGCGGACAACACCCACACCGGCATTGGCGGCGGACGCGGTCGCCCTTCGTTGGTTGTTGGTTCAATAACAGAGCACGATAACAAAGACAACGGGAGCAGACGTGCCAACAAAAAACAGGTTATGTGCCAAAATCCGCCTTAGATATGACGGGATGAACTATCGCAGGGTGTGCGTTGAGCGTGACGAATGCAGGACAGACCGTTACACTTAAACGCGGCTTTACACCTGTGGTGCAGGCGGCATCGTGACGCGCAGAAAAAACGTCCAGACAATCGAAAGCCTCCTAAACAACTTGTTGCCGGCCCTCTCTGAAAAGATTGTCGCCGAGATTCTCTGTTCAAGGCCCTGGTCAGCGCTGGTGCTGCTCACACAGAGCGCGGCTTGCATAAGCAGCTGGAAGCTGGGAGCTTCTAGCATGTTATTCTACACGCGTAATGTAGATACTGTAGTGTGTACGCCATTTTTCGCTTTTGAGGCAGAGAAACGCTGTCTCGTCACAAGGGAAAGTGCTGTTTCTTCAACGCCCGTCGCACAGCTCATAGCGCACAAAATCATGAGCCCGGCCCACTTGGAAAAAGTTGAAAAATGTTCGCTGCATCACCACAAGCGCAGTGGAGTACGGCGGCAGGTGGTAGGTAGCATTGTGAGGGGGTGGCAAAAATTGGATTCACGATGTACGACGGTTGCCCCAGCGATGATCTTGGAAACCGTGGCGCTGAGCAGGGTCTATCTATCTCGGAGTTTGTCAAGGAGAATTTCAACGATCAGAGCTTCAGCGCTGAAGTTCATCTCGATAGAGCATCTGGGAGAGGTTGTTCACAGGGTTGGGGAGATCTTGGATCTCGACCGCAGCCAGAAGTGTCGAGAAATGCTTGTGTTGTCATGGAGGAGTGGTGACAATGACCGGACCGTTTTCGCGACGAATTAAAGATGGTTAATCTAGGAGCCAGACAAGGGGTTTCATATCCCTTTCCCTATCCCTATCCCCACCCCGTACTCCCTTCTGAAACCAAGCTTAACATCCCTGCGAAGGCTACATACTTGGAATATGTATTGTATTGTAGTGAAATTAAGGAATAATAAAAACACACACAGAAATACTACCCATTCGAGATATACCCACAGTCGAACGGGATGTGGTGGAGTCTTTTCAGTGAGTGGAGGGAAACCGGCTGGGTACTGGACTTATTTCGAGTCTTTTTAAGTCTATACACTGATGATTTATACCAGTGATGCCAGCTGGTGCTAAGTACAAAAACATCTGTGTAGGTAACTTACATTTTACAATACATCCCCTGTAGTTCTCTACTGGGTCAACGACAAAATATCGAAATTGCCGGGGGTCCATCACGACCGACGTGATCTGCACTGGTTTTCATAAAAAAACAACAACGATATCGACTAGTATGGGACCTGCATCTGCACCACGGGGGGATAGATGTATAACGAGACATCCGAATCATATTCCCCAGTCCTAAACAATGTTTTTGGCGTTAAGACCGTCAACCGGCGATCGTGGTTACGTACATATTGCAGTTCGCTGTAGCATACGGAGTGCGGAACCACAGGATGGCATACTCTTGGTTTGTAAGGCAGAATGCGAGGCTGTTGTGTGTTGTCAGAGGCAACTTCAATACGGTATATTTGGACACATTCATGCACTCCCATGCGTAACTGTTCGCTGTCACTATTTATTAATACAACACAAACGCGGCAGTCGCGATGCACACAGCCGTTGCATGTGCGCACCTACTGGGGCCTGAGCCACAAAGCTTATTCCTCCGGCGATATCGTGGTTTGTCTGCGGAGGGAACGACTCGCACGAGGCCATGATAACAAAATCTACGGACACCTTACATGCTGTACACCTATGCATCCCCTATAACGCGCGCTCACCTGCTTCCACTCTCCCCGCTGAACCCTCGACCCGACCCCTCCCCGTAATCTCCGCCTCGAAGGCTCCCTTCTTGTATGTCTCTCCACATCTCTTCTCCCCCTCTCCCCCCCCGTGACGCTGCACCCGGAGCTGCTGCTGCTGCTGCTGCTGCTGCTGCTGCTGGGTGTTTGTTGTCGCGACGGTGTGTTATGCCGTTCGTCCGCTTGGTACCCCTGGCACTGTTGCTCCCCTTCTTCCAGCTGGCGGCCAGTCTCGAGAAGATCGAAGCCGTCGACGCCGGAGAAGCAAGAGATACCCTGCCGTGGCGGTGGCTCTCGTTGTTGCGCTCTCCCTCGCCCGGTGCTGCTGTCTCAAATCCGGCCGTTGCTGCTGCTGGCACTTTCGATTTTCTCTGCCCGCCAGAGACATCGCCTTCTCCGTCCGTGCTCTCGCTCTCGCTCACGTAGCGCTCGTAGCCGGCCGTAGGTGTATCTGGAGCGTAGTCCATGGTTGGTGGGTCAGCTGTAACGGGCGCGGTGGTGCTACTACTTGGCTATCACTGCTCTGTGTTAGATGCACGTTCACGCTTTAAAAGTTAGAAAATGAGGCCGTCGGAGGCTCCGCGTACGATAGTCAACAGTCCCGCAGAGGCTCCGCGATTTCGTGCGAATGAGGCAGGGGGTCCGAGCGAGCACATGCACACCACACACCTTGCACCTGCACCTCATCGGAGACGCAGCATCGTGCCCAGCCTGCAGCACAGCGTGGTAATCACGCCCTTGCTAGTGATACACGTACGAAGGTAAGTCGAACTATTCTGGGATCATCTAGGCGGTTTGCTTGCAGGTGTCGTTCGCGAGGAGTCGCCTGCACTCCGCTTCGAGACGAGGCGATCGATGTCTCTCCCACACAGATGCAAATACAACTTGAAGGGCAACGACGCAAAGCCCTCTTTTGCACCGGCCCACACTACGCTGACAACCCACACCGCACTAAGCATCGGCACAACGATGTGAATGGTGGTGTCGTCATGCCATAGCCGTGGTTGCTTGCTCGCCGGCCTATGTGCTTCAATGACGACCCGAAGCATCCTTGCATCCTTTCTTTTATTTTGCACAAGCGGGCGATCAAGCTCCATCTCTCACGCACCGCAAGCAGCACCGTATGATATGATGTAGGTTACAAGTACGTTGCCCTCTGAATACATATGCATACAGGTAGACAACAGCTTGCTCCCTCGTGGATCATGAGGGAATCATTCGATATCACCTACAGATCGCGACTTTCAGCTGTGTGTGTCAGCCAGCCGTGTAATGCTACAGTATGTCCCAAACACTTTGATGGAGCTCTAAACGTTGCAGTCGTGGTAATCCGTCGCGGTAGCAACGTACAGCGTGCCGTATTCTCCGGTATACCACAGCAGCAAGGCGAAACTCCGTGGGTCTGCAGTAGTCTAGACTACATTTAGTGCTTGCTTGGTACAGCATCGAGTGTTCCGGTAAACTTAGATGCGAACGGCCGGCCGCACCTGACAGAGGTTACGCGATCATCTGGAATCGGTGCAACGGCTCTGTTGCCCCTGCTAATCCTTGTACTCCGCAGCTTTCGGCCAGTCCCGCCTTACAGGCACTTATCTCTAGCGCTGCTGCAGCTTCACGACGCCGGCCGTGTGCAAGCATCGCTCTCACGAAGTCTATAAGTGGAGGTGGCTCCTCTTTGTCCCCTCGTCGTTGATTTCGTTGCACAAATATACACATACCTAACGCATATCATACCAGGAATTGTTATCTCTATCCCGACTGGCGATATCTTGAGTTGCCCCATGTGCCTCCCTTGATCAAGCAGCACGCCCTCAAGCCCACGCGCGGGGTATCAGCTTTGTATGGTATGATACCGCTCGGCTGCTCTCATAATTGGCAGCACGGCATTAACACCAGCGGAGCAATGGCCTCATTGGAAAGCTTGCTGGCGGCCGGAGCGGCGCCGCCTGCAGAGGGGGGAAAGGTTGCCTACGAGCATCCTTTGGTCCAACGGTGAGAGGTGATAGAAAATGTTCACGTACTATCTATTATAATAGCGCGACGTGAAAACACGATATGGTTGGCACCATGAATTGAGTCTTGACCAACGCATCGTAGCACTATCGACTGTCTATTGTGCTTGTACGTATGCGTGAAGCACTTGACCCAAGTCGTTTTGGTAGGTCCCTGGCATGTTTTTCCACGGCGGGATGGGGCACACGCGGCTTTCACTGGCAGTGCACCAAGCGCAAAGCGCCGCGAAGTGGTTGGCGATTCGCGCGCTTGATGGTGAGCTGCACCCGGAGAATAACTTGTGAGACGGGTGTGTGGGCAACTTTTGTTTTGGAGGTCGGCGGTGGGCTTCGAATTGCGTGATTGCTTGGTGGTTGGACAACAGGTAGACCATGATGTAGGTGGCCTTGCCCCGCGGATCCCTGACAAAACGCATTCTTCGTGATGAACCTTGGAGTGCGCGTGGACATCTCACGTCCGATGTGCACGCATGGACAACAGGTATGCATCAAAGGAGATGAGCTTCGTGTGGTCGCCGGTCAAGAAATTCCGCACGTGGCGGCTGCTATGGATTGCCCTCGCCACGGCCGAGAAGGAGCTGGGTGAGTGCGTTGCACGTTTTTGATGCAGTTGACTGTCACCAATTATTGGGCACAATATTGTGCTTACCAATACAGTCGAGAGACACGAGCGTGATCATGTCCTGGAGGAACGGTGTGTTCCGCCTATGACATCGAGTGTTTTTGAGTGCAACGCTTTTTTGTGCATGGGTCACCATACGCTGGACCTGTCTAGACACGACTGACTGTTTAATTAGTTTTTAGGAAGCAGTACGGTGCGTCACGTGCCCATTCGATTTGCGATCGTGTGCGTATTGTGCGTTTCATCAGGGCTGGACATCACGGACGAGCAGCTTGAGGAGATGCGTTCCCAGGTCGACAACATTGACTGGGACTACGCCGCTAAGAAGGAAGCCGAGTTCAGGCACGACGTCATGGGCCACGTGCATGCCTTCGGCCACGTTTGCCCCAAGGTTGGCCCGGTTGTTTTCCACACCATTCCGAACCAGCCCACGTTCCTCGCCCTTAAGATGCACCTTCATCCAGTTTAAAGCCTAAACCTCCCGTTGTTTTTTTCTCTAGTGGACGCTGGGCCTTTTTTGTGGAAGTTTTTGTTTGGTGTCTCGTAGAATACAAATTCCACGATCTTTCCCACTCGAGGGTCACATTCATGATATATCCATGCGCTTCACGTATGCTCCCCGGTTTTAGTCGACCCCAGTCAGCCAAGACCATCCCCGTGTTGGTGAGACGGTGTCCCCCTGGCAAGAATTGAGCAGCGCAATCCATGCCTGACGTCTATTTTTTCGTGTGGGGAAGATTCAACTCACTTCTGTCCCGTGCTGTTCGGCATTGGACTCGTGTGTCGCAATTTGCTTTTTAAAATGGGTGGTCGAGATGGCGTCTGGCACTTGAGCAAACCTGGCGCTCAACCGCGATGAACTAACTCGCGAGAGTACTGTGCTTTCCTCACTCCTGTTACTGCTGTCGGGTCTTGCGTCTGAACTCGCCCTCTTCCGCTTGTTGTGCTGCCAGGCCATGCCGATCATCCACCTGGGAGCGACGTCGTGCTTCGTCGGAGACAACACTGACATTGTTCAGATCCGCGACGCCCTCCTCCTGCTCCGGCGCAAGCTCGTGAAGTTTTTGGACGTGATGAAGGCCTTCGCCGCCGAGCACCGCGCCCTGCCCACCCTCGGGTTCACTCACTACCAGCCGGCACAGCTCACCACCGTGGGGAAGCGCGCCACACTTTGGATGCAGGTACACGTCACCACACCCGAAAAAAGCTTTCCCAATGCATCATTTTTTTCTGTGAACGGTGTTTATGGTGTGGGCACACATGGTGTTGACGTGGGCGGTTTGGGCGAGCGTTGATGTTCTGCTTTGAAGGAGAGGTTGGAGAATAAAAAAAAAGTGGAGCTTTTTGAAGGTGGTCGCTGGTGTCGAGGTTTCATCGGCACGATGAGGACAAGAAACGCAGAGTGTGTTGGTGCAGATCGGCAAGGGGGTCCAGCTAAGGTACAGGTGGACGTGGTTCCTGCAACAGTCTTCTGTCTGGGATCTCGACCACGACGTACCGGTCGTTGTGGCTCGCTCGTTTTATCGCCGATGAGCGACGCAGCGGCTGCCCCCCCTCGCTCGGCCTCGCTGCCCCTGGTCTCCCTCATGCTGAAGCAGGTCGCGCCGTTCTTGTACCACCGTGTCGTCCGTCGCTCGTGGTTAAGAAGCTGCCGCTAACCGCACGTGCACTGCTGCAACTTGCCGTACTCCCGCACTCCCTTGTTCTTGTTTTCTCTTCCCGCCTTCTTCTCGTTTAGGACTTCGTCCTGGATGTGGCCGCCTTGGAACGGTGCATCGAGGATCTGCCGATGAGGGGCGTCAAGGGGACCACAGGCACGCAGGCCACCTTCCTTCAGCTTTTTGACGGTGACCACGACAAGGTGATCCCTGCAGCCTGTAACACCAGCGCGTGCCCAAACGCGCGTGGGGAAGTCGCATCTACTTTGACCAAACGCAACATTCTGTTCTGCCCGTGGGGATGTCCTGGTACCGTGCCTGTCGGCAGGCCTTGGACGTGCGACCATAATTTGCGGTAGTTTTTTTACGGTGCTCGGCCGTATTATAGGGGCGTGAAGCGCTGGCCAGCGACTCAGAGGGCGAACACGTCAATGGCCGTACGCACATGACTTTTTTTTCATGTGTGGTGTAGTGTCCAAGTTGTTGTTTTTCAATGCGCTTTCTTCCAGCTTCCCGGCGGCCATCTTAGGCAACAAGGTTTCGGTCACATTGGCACCACAATTTGTAGACGTACACGTCTGCGTGGCGTGCAGTGTGCCACAGTATTTTGATCACAGCATCGTCTGTGCTACGAAGTCGAACGGCCTCCTCTTGCATTGTCGGCACGGCATCCCTGGAGTAGTTTCTCTCTCGTTTTTTTGCACATGAAATTCTTCTTGATACCGACGAAAGTGAGATGTTGCAATACCCCAACGAGCACAACGAAAGGTAGTCTCTTTTCTCGCGCTTCGTCCTCGATTGCACTTCTTCAGGTGAAGACTTTGAACCGGCGAGTGGTGGAGCTGATGGGCTTCGACAAGTGGATCCCGGTCAGCGGGCAGACGTACAGCCGCAAGATAGACTACCAGGTGAACCATGTCGCAGTCCATGTTTGATGCCATACGTGTTCTGCGTTGCATTCGAACCATGCACGAACTTTCGTGCCGTCAAATTCGCAGCCGCCGATGAATGTGAAGTTTAATTTTCAGAAAACGCTTCGACCTGGTTCGTGGAAATTTTGCGCGGAGAGTGAAGATCGCGGTTGTCGCTGCGACTCCGGCAGCGGAACACGGCTGGGCGTGAAACAACACTCCCCGTCCACACTGCGTTGAGCTATGTCACGCCCCTGTGAATTCGGCAAGACGCCAACCTTCTCTGTGCCATCCTTTCTGAAAAATCGGGCTGCGGGTGCCTGACACGATTGATAGGTGTTGACGGTGCTGAGCGGCGTCGCTCAGTCGGCGTACAAGATGTGCGGCGACGTTCGACTCCTTGCCAACCTGAAGGAGGTCGAGGAGCCCTTTGCCAAGACGCAGGTTTGTGGTCGGGTGATACGTTTGGCTTGGCTGGTGTGGGAAGTTGGTGTAGGTGCGAACGGGGTTTTCTCTTTCTTGGAAGCGATTCAAGGTTCGCTTGCTGGGGCTGCCTGGCCTTTCGAACACCGGTCGCTTGACAGCTTCTTGACCGGAGGTTGTTAAAATATTTCATCAAATCGAAGAATCGTTCCATCGCGGTCGTTGCTGGTTCGAAGCGTGCCCCTGACATCCTTGGTGCTGTTGAGTTTTGGGTCAGCTCGACAACGGGTTCATTTGAGTCTCATCTAAGGTGTCCGGGTAGTCGATGGGTAGATCTTCCCACGCCGCTCAACTTCAAGAGAAGCTTGAACTTGTTGGTTTTGCTTCTTGACTTCGATGATCGACAACGTTCGCTTGGTTCCATCCGGTTTTCATAAATCTGTTCAGATCGGGTCGAGTGCGATGGCCTACAAGCGCAACCCGATGCGCTGCGAACGCACGTGCTCCTTGGCGCGATATCTCATGGGACTTCCTGCGATGGCGGCGCAGACACACGCATCTCAGTGGTTCGAGCGCACCCTCGACGACAGCGCCATTCGCCGGGTGAGTAAAGAAGGGGTTATGCAGTCGGCCAAGTCGATACACCTGCTTGTAGTGGTAGGCCAGATGAACAGCATGTACCAGGCCATTCCGTCGGGCCAAGCAGCGTCGCTTCATAAACTCGAATGAGCATACCAGAAAAGGGTGGACTCGGTCGTTTTGTCGCGTCGTTGCAGCAGAGCGACTGCGATCTGTTCAGCTTGCTACTACCGTAGTAGAGGAGGAAATTGAAGTAAACAATTCGCGAGTTTGAAAAAACAGCGTATTCCAAGGCCGCGGCCCCCGAGAATATCCCTGATTATTTCGTGGGGCACTCATGGTCGTGCCCGTGCCTTGTGGCGAGCAACCCTGCTAGAGCACGCATCACAATAGCGTTTGCGATACAGCTCGTCGCCTGTCATGCGCCTCGTCAGGTAAACTGTGGTATGACCTTTCGCGCTGTTTGCGTTGCTTTCCTTGCCATTTGAGAACCTGAAGCGTTCGTTCCCGTGTTGAATACAATTTGGCGGTGCGCGACATTGATCAATCGCTGCTTTTCGCCGTGGTAACCGCCAGATGTATCTGCCGGAGGGGTTCCTATCTGCCGACGTCATCGTCACCCTGCTGACCAACATCGCAGATGGCATGCACGTGTGGCCTGGGGTTGTGCGGGCTCGAGTCATGGCCGAGCTACCCTTCATGGCCACCGAGAACATTCTGATGGCCTGCGTCAAGGTGCGATATTTGTGCTTTTGATTGGAGTCCCACGGCTCTCAGTGAAGCTGGCGACTCAATGGTGGACGTAGTGGAACGGTTACATAAGAGGGATCCATGCCACATCCATGTCTAAGTTCTCCCCTTTCTTGACCGCAAGCCCTCCCATGGTTTGGTTGGTGGTAAATTCGATGGCTCACTCCTGTAGCGAATCGAATCATCTGGCGGACGAGCACCACAGTCAATGATCGAAATGTCGAAACGTTGCGTGCCGGACCCGGAGAGCAAAGGGCCAAATCTTGACATCCCACCGACGTCCATGCCCCGTTCAATGGAGAATTGCATCAGCAGCGCGGCGATGTGAGAAAGGCAGCATGCTTTCCCTCTGAGTTTGCATTAACCACATCACTTGCTTTCTTCACACTGGGATCCAATAATCCTTCCACGCTGGCGACTTCGCGACACCAGGCCGGCGGGGACAGGCAGGACTTACACGAGAAGATCCGCGTGCATTCGATGGCGGCGGGCATGGCGGTCAAGGGGGAGGGTAAGCCGAACGACCTGATGGACCGAGTCGCTGGAGACCCAGCTTTCGAGGCGGTGCACGGGGAGAAGCTGGCGTCTCTAATCGACCCTTCTCTCTTCATCGGCAGAAGCCCAGAACAGGTCTGTGCATATTTAGTTTGTCTCGCCGTTCCAATAGTGGCGTAGCACTTGGGACGTGTTTTGCCTGTCGTGTTGGATGGTCGGTTGCTCGGGTTTGTGCCTTGTGAACCTGCTGTTGTCGCGCTTTCGTGCATTAGGTGGCGGGGCAATCACGTGATCCTGTCTCTTTTTCGATAACGTTGCAGGTGGACGAGTTTCTGGCGGAGTGCGTGGATCCCATCCTCGACAAGCATCAGGCATTGCTAAAAGAGGAGAACGTCGACGACGTCAACGTCTAAGAGTTTTATTCACACGATCGAGGCTGCTACGTCGGGAAAGCGCTCTAGTTGCCCCTTGTGTTGGCGGTATGAGTTGGTGAAGGCAGAGGGAATGCGGAGGGCCACGGACGCACCCTGGCGTATCTTGTGGCATGTTCCAGCCGACCTCAAAGTTTTCGTGCAATGATGGAGATAACTGCGCCCGTTCATCGTATCTCTGTAGTGAAGCCAGGAAGGAGATGTACACTCGCATGTTGTGTTTACCTATTTCAATCTAACAACGGCATTCGTGGTGTCCATAGGCTCCGGTGCTCAAGTCCTCTCCGAGCCAGACAAGAGAACCTTCTATCTTGTTGTTTCCCAGCCACTTCGGCCTCCATCCGGATATGATCAATCATATGATGGTCTCTGGTTTGATTGAGTGCCACTCCGCAGGGAAGGTAGCGTAGCCGACAGCGGGTCACATTGTTCGGCACTTCGAGGAAATCACTACCAAGGCAAGATTCACACCCAAGTGCAGTATTTACCGGGGCAAACGCAGATGATATGCGAATAGCATAATTTCAAGGCCTGGTCTTCAGACTTAGGCCGTCACGTTTGGCAAGAACGTGCGAACGAAGTTGTCGCACGCACCCCGATATACCTTGGTAGTCACATCCAGCAGTGAAGGCGGGCAGCCATAGCTTGGAGAAGAGAGGAAGGTATTAGGTACGTGCTCCTGGCACGCGCGTTGTCGGCAGTGCTCTGTGTACCCTTGCAGCCGAACGGTTGTCCGAATCATTCCCGAAGGTCACCAGGTGCGGTGCTGCGGTTGAATGTGGCATGCTCAGCGCACTGCTGCTTGCGTTTGTGTTGCCGTGCGCAATGTGTCATCATCCCTGGGAATGTTTGCGCTTTGTGCCCTCCTGTCGTACCGAGCTGTGTTTGGTGCCAAAAATAATCTCGTGTGGCACATGAGATTGTTTCGTTCATAGGACATGGCGCTACAACATACAGCCTGAAGAACAGAACGGCCCGCACTAGTGAAACGTACAACAATCGTTTAGTCTAACACAGAGGACTTCTTCTACATGCTACTGATGATGCTCTGATGCTGTAGGGTAGGCGTGAAAGAAGCAGCCAGTACCGACAGACAGGCAGCAGAGATTGGAAAACAAGCAAATTAAGCCGACGCTGCAGACAACAAGTCAAGTGGGTGCAATAGTGACCATGACCAATTTATAGTCTTGGCGAATTCCGCAAGTACTTGTCTCGGCAAAAAAAACGCACGCCAACTGTTCGCGCAATACAAGTCTTGTGCCGTTTGATTTCGAGAACACTTCGTTCGTCATAACCAACAACGCACGCACGCACGCTCAAAGGAAACCGGACCTCGCATTGGAAGGGCAATTTATTGACGGACACGTGGCCATTCCTTTCCAACGAGCGTTCCTGGGTGGTTCGTCTTCTACAAAAGAACTGGTGAACCGTGAACCTCAGAAAGCAGCAACGAAACGCCAACCACTTGTATTCACACATCCGCATGGCCGGACGTCCGCATGCATACTACTACCGGAATTTATTGTTCAAAATGGACAATTTCGTTCGAAAATTTCGTTGTTTTTGCCCTCTACAAAGGTAACGACGTGGCGACAATAGCATGGCGGGTTTGACCTGGGTCCTCCCAACCTCTCAGAATATCAAGTGCCTTGCGAGCACAGGAACTCACCTGCAAAATTCCCTTCGGAAACATGGACAAACAAAACACAGAACACCAACAGCTACACCGCCACTTGTCCACCGCAAAGAAACACACGGACATGGCCATGCACTTCCAACGAGAATACATTCGTAGCCTACGCACGAATCTCCGCGAAAAGAACATGCGCCCATCCATGCATATAAATTGAACCAGACAACAACTTGACAACACATACACAAACGACGAGCGTTGTACAACATTCTTTTGTAATGGGGACCATTCGCGACAAGAATGATCAAACGCAACAACAACAACAAAAACAAGCACAACAACAACGATTCCCCCCTTTTTTTATATTTTTGTCAACTTGGGTGGGCCTTCTCAAACGTGAATTCGGTACTACTGTGTTACCCATCCTGTGCATAAACTACCAATCAATGTAAGACAACTTTCCGTTTACTTCTTCGCAGCACATCAGTCTCATTGTTTGTTGGCCGAGCGCACAGGTAACAAGCAAAGGCTACCTGCGACCTGAATTCACTTCACATTTCACCTACAGTACTGCACTTCTATTTGAAACCATGAAGGTGCGCTTGTTCCCTAAGCCACCCCATACTCACTCCCTTGACCCCCATGCAGGCGAACACACCGCCATGTGCCTGTCATGGAAGAGTGAAATTCGTTGGCGATGTTTCACCCTCCTCGAGCATAGTTGTTGCATGAATCCTTCCTTCCTCACGCTTGCACACAAGCTGGGGATGAATGCAGAAATTCAAAACATAGAATCGGGAACCTACGAGGGAGGGAGAGAGATCAACGTGCTCGTTAGAAAGAAGATGGCTATTGCTCGGGATCAACGGCGCCGCATTGCCGTCTCCGAACATGTTGACATAGTCTATGTCCATCATCGGTCGCAGTCCAATTGAGGGCCGACAAGGCATATCGTCCAATCGCTCGTGACCCGGGTGAAACGTCCTGCGTGATGACAGAAAATATGGACACATACCATAAACATGGAGCAGGTGGCCGAAAGAGAGCGACATCTCAGTCGAGGAAAAATCCCTCCTCAGATACAAACACACGTTCGGCTTCACACCAGCATTACTTTCGTACCACTACAGATAGCACTATCGTAGCTTCTGTAGCTATTGGCCCTACTCGTTCGCCGTTCGTGCAGCGATGCTTGGTGGAACGAAAGTTGTTTGGGTGGTTCTACAATACGTTCTACGCATAGGGGAGGTACCATGCGCTCTGTACTCCTGTTGTTGGCTGGTACCACAGAACGGGACCGCAATAAAGACAAAATCTGTTAAGAAAAATTAGCTCAAACGTTTTCGAAAACTAAGAAAAAAGGGCAAAGAGAAAAAGCTCAATCTCGGCTACACAGCTGAAGACACGTCCCAATACGAAACATGATAGTGCGATACCCCCAAGACACAAGAAACAAGGATAGGCGCGCGTCGAATAAGAAACGTCCCACTGCTGCTGCTGCTGCCACAGTTCCCACCCCTACATGTGGCAGTTCCCTCATGTAATTATTTGGTAGGGGGGAGAGTGGTTATCTTCCGCGGCGCCCCCCGCCCCCAGCGCCGCCGCGGGCGGCGCTACCCACTGCTGCTGTACTGCCACAATCCCCAATGTTCGCTACGCTGAGCTGTCCGTCGTATGCTGCATGGTGGCTTGGTGTGTTTTGTTTTCTTCGCCAGAAATGAGAAAAAAAGAAAAAAATAATAAGAGAATCAGCAGGATGCGAAAGCCTCAAGGAATATTATCCGTTTTAAGAAATTGGCGGACTTCGGCTGATCCTTCTGCCCAAAATACATATATGCAAAATACGAGATTGAGGCTCGACCCGAATTCGACGGTCCCCATCTCCAGGCCCGTCTTTATCGTACTACTGCTGCTGTACCGACTTTCTCGCGTTTACCGACTAAGAGTCTCACATGGAAACACACCTGCAAGGAGCGTCTGGAATGAAGTTTATGTTTTCAGGCCCCCGAAAGCATTAGTTATCCCGGATTGCTGCGGGGTAGCCCGCAGTTCGGCCGTCAAGTCCGGCTCCGTCGCCGCCGGTTTTTGATCTTCGACATCCATGGCGTCCTTGTCCGTAAATTGTGCTTCATGTAGCTCTTGCCAGAGCTTGTTGGCCCGTTCGGCCAAACATTTCCCTTGTTCTCCGGCAAGCCCCAGTGTTTCCGGGTGAGATTTGTATAGCCCGATCACAGCACAAAGCTCCTTTCGAAAGACAAGCAAGCGTGGCCACGAAAGGCGTTTCGTTGTACAACATAGCGGACAAGTAGCATGATGTGGGGCCACGCGGAGGTAAGATCACCCAAACTCCTTTTCCTATGACATTCGTACAGCAGGAGTGTAGACTACCTGCTGTACTCCACAAACAACTTGTTTGGTTCCACTGTAGACTACATATAATTGGTTTGTTTGGCAACTATTATATTTATATCCCCTGGCTCCGTTGGCGCATCGCAACCTTGAATCCCCCTGCCGGGAGAGCCTGTTTACTACGAGCGTGTTTGCCTGGTATGTTTATCTCCCTATCTAAGAAGATATCGGTATTCCGGTACTGTCCATCAGCTAAAACGCACACACAGTGGCCAATAGGTGCAAAATACGTACTCTGCTGCTGCTCATCCACAGCAGTAGTAACCCTGTGTCTCCATCGAGCTTTCTCGAATGCTAACCACATACTACTCCTATAGAGTCTACAGTAGGCCAACTCCTACAGCATGTGGAATAAAGTAGGACACAGAACTAATGCGGCAGTTTATAAGGTCGTAGTGGGTATATCTCGAATGGGTAGTCTTTCTGTGTGTGTTTATGTGTTAATATAAAAACACACACAGAAAGACTACCCATTCGAGATATACCCACTACGACCTTATAAACTGCCGCATTAGTTCTGTGTCCTACTTTATTCCACATGCTGTAGGAGTTGGCCTACTGTAGACTCTATAGGAGTAGTATGTGGTTAGCATTCGAGAAAGCTCGATGGAGACACAGGGTTACTACTGCTGTGGATGAGCAGCAA